ATATATTTTGACTACGCTATGCTATCTGCTGTTCTTTGGCATTGGGATCATCATCACCAATTGGAAAGCTTGGAAAAAACACTAATCACCACTAATATTTTCGAAATCGATTGACCATTTTAAGGATGAATATTGTACAACTTAATAACATCGTAACTAAATTTTACTAATTTGTCTGCTAGCAAAATTTGGATGAAATTTATTGCTTTTTTAACAAGTGTCATCATGAAAATGATTTTGTCTTTCAGCTCCATACTATAAAGAAAAACAAATTAAAGGGAACCAACCTGATCTAAATCAATTCAGAAAGTAGAATTTTATCAAGTGTTGATCGAGTCATCAGGATGATGCCCCTGTACATCTTAGAATCCAAGTTGTTTACTGGTGAATATGGTAGGTGTCGCACGAAGTTGGTAAAAACAGAACTGGTCCTAGTATGAGGAGGATTCAATTCAGAGTTTCGTTTTTGTTTGGTTTTAGTGTCAATTATCGATGCTTCAACAGGCCGTGCCTACCTTTTTCTTTATCAGATTTGGGCGACACCTGAGGGAAATTTGAAAAAGCGTTACGAAGGAAATTGAACCAGAAATAATTCCGTTTTTGTGGCTTTTTCTTTCTGTCGGCTTTTGCTCTTGTATTCAATAGTTATTTCTGTGTAAAACACCTGCGTCTGCAGTTTTCAACAGCAAATAGCAAGTAATTTTTTTCGCTCGCGCCTAATTTAAAAATCAAACCCGAGCACGCCATAAAAGTTTTCCCACTTACGCAAATGCATCAGCTGTCTTCCGTTTCTTCAAAAAGGAAAGTGTACGCACTAGATAATGCGCACTTAGAAGGAAGTGTTTTCATTTCGATACAAACTTCGACACGTTCAAGGCTGTCGAATACATTTTCGGATCATACCTGCCCTTGTTGAAATGTGTTGGCGGGAAACTTCCTATAGACACGGTTTCGCCATTATTCTATGGATACTAGAACTTCAGTTTCTAGTCTCTGTTTTGCTCTGGAAAATTTGCTTTTCGAAAAAAAATTTAACTTAGCACTCATATAGGGGCCAAGTGTTTATAGTAAAATTTGCAGGGGCTCCGTCATTAAAATGAAATATGAACTCATACATAAGTTGCATTGTATTTCAGATTTGAAAAAAAAACTAGGTAAGCAACAAATAAACAAGAGCTGGTATGTCTGTGATTAAAAATAGCAATAAAAATTTTCAAGCTATGAATAAATTCGATACACTTGAAGTAGAGTAGATCTAAAAGATTCCGTTTCATCAAATTAATTCACAGCACATACACTGCCAAAAAAAAAAAAAAGATTTTTCAAAGAACCCCTCCTACAAAATTAAATAAAATATGACAGTTTTTAAACCGGGCTGCGTTTTTTGACGGGCTGCGTACCCGTCAATAAATGCTTAGAGTGAGATGGTTTGAATATATACCTGTTCCAAAACTTCGGCTTGTTTTGGCAAAAGCCCATTTCACCGTACACAATTTCGATATTTTTATCTTTTCTGGTGTAACCTTTGTAAACATAGATGCGATGCATTCCTTTCTCTCCGAATGCGCAGATGAAACCAGAAGATCCCCGTTTTTAGCACCCGCAAAAGAGCTTTTCCCCTTCTCGTCTGTAGATGAAATTTCGCGGTGACCCGAGGTGATATTCAAAAGGGCATGGAAGTTCTGGAAAGATTCAGTGTGTCAGAGATAAAAGCAGGGGATGGAAGCATGCATGCACCAGCAGCTGATGGAATCTCACAGCACACAAGACGAAGAAGAAGAAGAAGAAGTGCAGAAATGCAGACTGCTGGGGTCTATTATTTTTCCCTTCTTCGTATCCGTGTGGCATTCAACAATATATACAGTACAGTATATATACTGTACTGTATATAAATATACTGCGAGGACCGTTGACCGTTCTTCGTCGCGAACCCCGCTGGAACCAGTCGGGTTCTCATTTGCAAGTCGGAAAAGATAGCCCGGTTGGGCCCTGGCACGGATTTACCCCCGGAAAGGCGAGCCCAGGGGCGAGGGCTGCATTCTTCCGCGAACTGTAGTGACTACAGCAGCGACGTTCGTTTATTCACCCGATCGACAGCAGGGATGACGACTGCTGCTGATGATTTGTTTGAGCTCTGAACAATGATAAGAAGCAGTCCTACCAAATGTGGCGTGTGGAGCTGCATGAATCATATTATGACCCAAGCAGATGCCGAATATAAGTAACTCTCTAATTTTCCGCGATTCCTCCGTTCACATGAACATTTAATAATCAGTGGATGTGGTAAATAGGAGAACATTTATGTGAGATACAAAGCTATGTAAGATTCAATTCCATAATGGTATTCTTGAATCTCTTTCTATTTGAAACCCTAGCAATGTGCATTGAAAATTAAAACAGCAGAACCCAGAGATGGGAATTAATTTACTTCCCAAGCTGTGGCTCTATTTTGAAAATATTGCAGGTCATGTCATATTTTCCCATCGTCTGAACATTGTTAACGCCTTTTCGTTCATTTTGAAATGGATTAAAGTTTTTTGCAAAAACTTAACAGAATATTTTTTTTTACCTTCACAACTCATGAATATCAGTGCAGAAAGAAACCCATAAATCTTTTCAGTTTGTTTTAAAATGATTCTAAAATGTGAAAAATTAAGCACACATAGGGAACAAATATTGCTATAATTTGCATATCAGTTGGATGGAAAGCCGTGAAATATAAGCAAAAAAAGCAGTCATTTTTGGAAAATAAATCAGTGACCGCACTATTAATTCCTTTGGCCATATTTTGTAATGTCTGTACGTCAGACCAGATTTTCTCATTTTCTGAACATTTCAAATCCCTTTACATGCTTCTTAAAAATGTGAAAAATTCCTCCAAAAATTCTCTAGAATTTTTTTTTCGCTTCACAACTCAGAAACAACCTTTGATGAAGGAAACTCAAACAATTGTCCATTTTCTGTGATAAATATTCTAGAAGAAAAAAAATAAGCACATAAAGCAAACGCACACTGCTGTAATTTACAAATCGGTTGGTTGAAAATCCATAAAATATATAAGCCCAAAATCAGTGCATTCCGGAAAAATTAATGTTCTTATTTTCTGTGCACTTTTTCAAAGACTTATTTAGACATTCCATAAAAAAAGCTCAATTTATTCAACCATTTTCAACATTTTAAAAATATGAATATTTTCTTTTTTGACATGCTTGCATCATATACAAGTATAAAATGCTGGTGATGCCAATAATGAGCAAATTTGATCAGCCTCATTTGATTTCAGGAATCAGAAGGGGGAGTTTCATGATTCAAAAAAAAATAATTAGGGTGTGTTGCAGCTACTGTATTTCCATGATGTTGATTCATGCCGGATTCATTCAGTTTATATACGAAACCCATGCAATTCAGTTTTCAAGATTCTGGGGTTCAACCCGGAGACAAGCTCCATATATTCGCTCAAAGCAGGACACGAAGCTCTCAAAACCAGGCAATGACCAAGTCGGTGTATATGTCATTGCGTTTTACATACGCTCAAAGTAAATATATAAGATTGAATTAATATCTGAAAAAAAGGAGAAGCCGCACAAAACAAAAACGAATCCTCCAGCAAAGACGGAGAAAAAAGGGGATGTAAAGTAGGAGAACCCAGGGCTTGAACCTTGAATTTCAAATGCAGGTAGTTGAGATCCCCTGGAAGATAATACATTTTATACCGTCATTACAATAAACCAGTTCGCGTGCGGGGGAATCGGTTTTGGGAGTCATTCTTGCTTCCAGTTCTGACCCGTTCACAAATCCGTGAGCCCGAAAAAAAAAAACTCTATATACATAATAAGCACCTTGAGACCTGGCCCTGAAGGCAATTACTTTTTCTGTGAATTTACGCCGAATTTTGTCACTGACTAATGCTCTCTTTTTTTGGAGGGATTTCCAACGTGTCCTGTTATGCTTCCAAAGAAGTGTGTGGACCTTCCCCAGCTGTAGTTGGTTCACGATGACCATTCACTTCCGTCTCAGTCGTATATAAAAGTCAGTCACCTACGACTTGACATTTTTCAGTTGATGCCTATATTCCGACTGAATCGTTTTTGATTTCTTCAAAAATATTTTGCGACTCTGAAATCTTTATAAAGAATGCAAGAACAGTTTAAACTTAATCCAGTCACTCGAATTTATACTGTGACCTGTGTTTGTTTTTGTGTGATCCGCGATCGGTGAAGTGATTTCCATCTCAAATTGTCCACATTTTTACGTCGACGCATGCGATATTTATTCGAGAATAATGAAGATTGAATATTTGTGAATATTCAGGGGCGAGAAATTATTCAAAAACGAATTTCGCTGTAGAAATTTCCTGAACAAAAGCAGCAGACGAACCGAGACTGAGAAAAAATACTTTCGAAATTTGATGAATGAAATCCCATTGAACGGAATATTAAAAAATTAAACTATTTTGGTTTTCTAATCTTGAACAGTGAATTTAATTTTTGTTTCAGAATTCGAGATAATGACGAAGAGATGATAATTCACGCAGTGCAGGAGAATTGTGGGTCAGTTTGTATCTTATGCTCTTTGGCTTAGTTTTTCAGTTTGGAAAAAATTCAAAGTCTCGATATTTTAATAATTTATTGCCACTCCCTTCAGAATTTTTAAGCTGAATTTTTCAAGCTTTTTATGGGATTCAACCATCTCATATAGCAACTATTGAAACCCTGAAATTTCTCTTTAAACATTTTTTAAACAATGATATCCGTCCTATCGATATTTGATTTTTGTTGTGACTTTTTGGATGAAATAATGACAGTTCGATTATTTCCGTTCTTTTTTGCAGAGCCACACAAAGTAGAGATAAAACTTGGTGATGAATGACGCTACTCAAGTTGTCGTTAGTCGCTTATGAAGGCGATCTGACTCAAAGTTGAACAGCGTCACAAAGAAAGTTGTCATTTGCTTGTGGAATCTTATTCTGAATCGCAAAAATAACAAAAAAAAAAAAAAAAATGCAAAACGAGCCAGAGAAGCCACGAGTTTCTCTAGACGGAACGCCCTCTGTCGGAACGACGGGCAAAACACCAAAGAGCCTAGAACAGTTGGCTCTAGGAGCAGCTCTGTGTTACTTGGCTGAATGCGCGCGAACCGGACACTTTGACGAGCAACCGTCATGGCGACGCAGCGCATGGCGCAGCTCTTTGCGCCGCTCTGTGCCAGCGCATTTGCGCGAAGCATTGCTAGATAGAGCTCTGGCAAATGGCCGTCTCTGCGATGCTGCACAGTTCTCACTGCTTGATGTTCTGCTCTGTGCGCACGTGTCGAAACTGGAGTTGCGGTATGTGCGAACATGGTTCCAGGCGCCGTTGGCGAGAATACTGTTGTCTTGGCGCGGCTCTGGGTTGCGCAGCGTGGTACTTGAGGACGTGGCGTGGCTCGGTGGTGAGTGTAGGTGTCGCTCGGTGTACAAGTGTGAGAGCGCGGTGTGGAACGCGACATCTCACGGAGAGAGTACGAAACGAGAAGTTCTCGTTTTCGACACGCCCGCTGTGCCGCAGTGTCCTAGACTGCTTTTGCCTAGGCTGCTGGCTGCCATGCCCTGGCTCACTCAAGTGAGCTACTTTTGCTGTTGGCATGTAATCATTCTGTTCTCTTCTGCATGTTGAATTTGAAATCAATCAGGCAAGAGACCAGACCACGCAATTAATTAAATATTTATTCATATTTTATAGCCCCCAAGTAGCAAGTGTAAGGTATTGAATGCTTGATGAAAAATTTATTCCATAAATCCGATTGATTTTGAATTCAATGAACAAAGAAAAACTCTGCTTTTGAGAAGTGAATCTCTGATTTTGATACAAAAATTTTGAATGTCAAAAAGTAATATAATCATTTTCAAACAATGGCTAAATCACAGTTTTTTGAGGTACTGTATATAGTACTGTAGTGCTTTGTTGTTATGGACTTTAGCATGACAATACAGTCAACCCCCATCTAACGGACTTGATTCGTGCAAGGGACGAGTCTGTTGGACGAAAAGTCCTTTACACAAATTCAATTACATAAAAAATTCAAAATTTCAATTTTCAACACCAATTTTAAACCAAAAGAAGTCTGTTTGGCGGATTTTGTCTGTTGGGAAGGAGGAAAAACTGCTTGCAGAGCTGAGGATTTTGTCTGTCGGGCAGGAGGAAAAACTGCTTGCAGAGCTGGTCTGTTTGGCAAAAATCCCTTACACGGGAGGTCTGTTAGGCAGGGGGCCACTGTAATTGGCATTGAACATTGTTAAAACACAATCCTAAAAATTCAGGAAAAACTGGTGAAGACTTCAACATATTCTTCTCCTTTATTTGAAGTTTGAAACGCCTCCAGGCATTACATTGGCTGTTATCCCATTGTACTGTATCTTCACTTTTTCAGTCAGTAAAAACATTTTCAAGTAAGATAATTTTGTAAATCAAGAATTTTCTAGGTCAAATGCCATAACAAAAGGCCTTCATATAATTATTATTACAGGCATTGCATTTGAATTTTTCTTAAATCTCAAATCCTTGTAGCAAATAAATTTTTATACCTCAACATGCAGCAGCTAGCCAGATAATTTACTTTGATCAGTCTCTTAATCTGTCCAACAAAATTTGAGAAACTTGAGGGTTCTCAAAGGTTTACATTGTTTTCCTTTTTTCAATGAATTCCAGAAAATACTTTTAGTTGACATTTGTTGAGGTATTTTATATTTCCTTTAACAAGAACTGCTGAGTTTTAATTTGCACTGGGACTAAAAAGCATCAGTTAATGTCAAAAAGGCCTGAGGAAATATCTCAGGACTGATGCCCAAGGCTGATTATCATCTCATTCTGGTTCATATTTGAATGCCAATATGCCATGAATACCTCAAAAATAATAATGATTTTTTTCACCCGTTTGTATTTTAGTTTTTTGCTTTTTGTTTTGGTAATTCCAGGCCCACTTGAAGTTCATTTGCGACGATGCAGCCCTGCGAGTGCTCGGCTCCTTCTGCGCCCACCTCCAACTCGTGGACTGCTCCTGGAGTCCTCAGGTCTCAGATCGCGGGATCGCAGCCCTGCTGCTAGAAGAACCCCAACAACTGCATTCCATCGCCAAACACGACCAAACCAACAAACAACACCACAACTTGAACAATCCCAACGAGAAGAAGAAGAAAAAGAGACGCTTCTTCAGCTCGTTTCTCGCGTCGGCGACGAGCAGCAGCGAACTGATGACCACCACTTTGGCCCTGAGGTTCTCTGACATTTTTGCACCAGCGTTCGCGTTGCCATTGCGTGGTACCACTGGTGGTGGTGCTGCTGCAGCACAAAGGAAACCGAGTCCCTGGGAAGAGTGTCATTTTGCAGACGATTCTCTGCAAAAAGCAGCTTTGCTCATGTTTGGCGGCAGAGTGGATGACAAAGTTGGCCGTGGTCTGAACCCGTGTTGCGACACTTTGAGAGTTTTGAGATTCGGTGGAAGTGCGGCTTCGAAAGCGAGTGTCGGACTTGTTGAGTTATTGGCACCGAAAGCAAAGGCATTCATCAATTGACACGAAAAATCAAGACCCAGTTTGAACAAGCACCGATGAGAGAAAGTGATTTATGCGTTACTTAGACCTGCAAGAATGAGGAAGACCTTTTAACAATGTAATCATGCAATTTATGTTGTACAGGAAGATTTGAGAGAAGCGTTCGTATAAATTTAAAACAAATTCCGGCAAAACGTAAAAAAATTTGGAATCCATTAGCTCGGAAAATTAATAATATATTTTGTAATTTCATGGGACTGAAATTTTCACGGAAAATACTGAAATCCTCATGAAAATCATCGTTTTTTCACCATAATGTGAGGCGACTGATGAAAAGCATTCTGGCATCCTGGGGAAATTCATTCTCGGCCCTCGATTATTTGCTTGATTAGTTACAGAATTGTGTCAGAAATTCTCCCATGAAAATGTAAAAAAGTAAATTTTGAGGAAAATTCTTATTTTTGCAGGTCTAGTTATCGATTAAATCACCCTGTCCGAGCTGTTCTACGATCGGAAGCTCGTTTCTCGTCATTTTGGTCAGATTCCTGATATCTTTTACTATTTTTAGCGTAAATGAGACAACCACTTATAATATGATAACAAGCACAAAGTCTTGAAGCTAGATTGTTCTGGTAGCATGTATTTCACGGGAGTGCTCAACAATATAAACATTCTCGCAGAGAGTGTCGCAGTTTTACTCGTGTGTCTTTCTAAGAAAAGAATACAACGATTGAAAATCTGCATCATTCGTCTGCATTTTTTTTCTGATCTTTAAAAATCGATGATGTGGGAATTCATGAGCTGCTGAACAAAATCTTTCAATATATCACCACCAGCAGCACCTCACAATTCCATTGCATGCAATAGTTTACATTTTCAATAAAAATCTCAGCACTTTCTCGCACACTAATTTTCTAGGACACGCTCAACACAGTTTTTGTCACGTTTTCGGATCAGCAGAAAATTGAAAAATCATTGAATAATTTTGGCTCATCAAACTCACCCTCAATAAGAATCCAGGTAATAGAGACAATAAGCAAATATTCTTAGAGCACATCTTAGTGCGGTTCCTTATTTGAAGATCCACGTGGAGGCTCTATAACCACTAATTGTAAACAAAATATAGGCTTAGAAGGATGATATTGAATTTAAAAATACGTAAAACAGAAGAAACGATATTTCCCCGCTTAGTTTGAACTGATTTTAAGAGGGTTTCATGAATTGAAAATAAACGAAAAATTAAACATAAAAATATAATCACTTGATCGCAATAAAAAGTGGCAATGACAAAATTCCAAGATTGAAATTCATAGCAAAAATTCGGGAACAGGTGAAATTCGAGAGATCCGTTCATCTGTAACTCAAAAACATTTTTCCATTCAATCGTATCAAAACCAAAATATGTATGATAAGGTGGAATTGAATTTCAAAATGTATGAGACACAATAAGCATTATTTCTCCTCTTCAATTGGAGTGATTTCATCTCCCAAAGTACTTAATTTTTATCGTAATTTTACATAGAGCTTTATTATAGGGAACCAGCGTTAGTATTTCACCGTTACTACTTTAAGGCTCTAAATTTAAATACGGACTTAATTATTAAGCGTTTCAGGGTGAACATGGAGTAATTTGTTTTACAATTCAAGGATGAATTGCCAGAGATGGTCTGAGGTGTGAAGAGAAGACGTTGATGGAGTCTTTTATCCAGGCTGCATAAGCCGCCACTCTGGTGTAAACCCCGGGTACGTTTCTGCGCCCACATCCGATCCCGAAGGACACCACACCGACCTGGTACCAATGCCCGTCTTTTTCGCACACCAATGGACCTCCGCCATCTCCCTGTTCATCATTCACAAATAAATGTTTCAGTCAACTTCTAACAAGATTTAAACCTAGAACTTATTTGCAAATAAAAAGAAAATATGATACCAATCCAATTGCTGTATTTATTTAATGCACCTATTGACCTAGCAACTTTTACACTTGCTGCAAGCATTTCTACCTTCTGCTAAATTGCCCTCTTTTTCCTATTCAAGGAAAAATATGTAATTTTGCCTCTGATGCAGCTGTTTTTGGTTTTTATTCCTTTATGTGAACTTCACTCATATTAATGTGTGCTGGTGCTTTCTTTCAGTCAAGCACCACTTTTCTTTTACTGCTGACAGTGAAAAATTTTTGCATGCAACTATTTTCTGTACCAATGCAGGATCCAACAGAAATGTCTCTTGCATGAATACTTGTGCATGGAAATACTTGGAAAGCATTTTTGGATATAATAACCAATGCATTCATGAAGTTTTAGACTCATGAATTCAAGAAGGTGGAAGGAATCTTGGTCACCCTAAATTCCTCCTGAACCAATATATACCCTGTTTTACTGAGCAATCCTCAGAATTAATCCAAACCTTGACACGGTTATTTCTCAGGAAGCCTTGTAACACATTTAGCAATGCCGCCTTCATTCTGAACTCTTTACGCATGTATTGTTGTTGAAGAAAGTATCTGAAATATATTGTTATATATCATATTGTACAACCTTGTACATTTATTGCAAAACACACAGTATTTGCACATTAATTTTTTTATTTTTTGGTTTTATCTTTTGAAACACACAGACTGGAATTAATTTATTGCATTCAATTTGGTACTTGTGCATGACAGGCGTCCAATTTCCATCATAAATTTTTTTTGGCCATGAAACAAACACAGTATTATTCATTACTTATTACAAATAAAGCCTTGATTTCTGATAAAAGGTTGAGAGAAAATTCATAATTGCACAAGTTAATTTGATCATGGACCATCAAAAGTGATGCTTTGAATGAATTACTGAGGCATTACTTCATGCTGATGGTTGAAAGTAATTCCTATATATTGCTACAAAGTCGATAAAAACTGATTGTCAAGCAAATTTACTGCACAGCACAAAATATATTTTACATTTTGTCTATCGGAAATTTATAAAAATTTTTAAATGGCGAGTAGACCAAATATACAATCATGAAAGTAATTGAATTAAACCATGGTTTATTAGAGATTTCTTGGGCTTTTGAGCTGCTCGGGAGGAACCAAGGAGGGTTGATAGGGATTTTGCGTGCGTTTTCCTGTTTGGCGTGGTTCATAGATCCACTAGATTTTTAAATTTAGAATGCAAATGGATTATCAATGATGATGATGAAGATACCGCACTAACAGGCAGGCATTTCTACCGAAGAATTCAAGAGCACCAATAAATAGCGCTTTATTTTTTAGTGCACTGATCCAGAGCAACCATTTGGAAACCCTGCACACTGTGTGACCGCCCGTTGAATAATTTATATTTCACCTTTCATAAAATGAGGAAAGTTTGCGAAAGAGGAGCAAAAGCAGCAGAATTAGAAATAGCTAAACTTACGTCACACGCATCATTGCCTTCAGCACCCGCACAAAGTGTTGTTATCGGCAAAGAGTAATTGGCCCCGAATTGAGTTTTTAGAGCTTCTTCACACGCCTGTTGGTTCCACAGAGGTACTTTGATTTCTTTGAGGATGACGGAATGGTCCGAATCTGAAATTTTTCAAATCAAATTGCACTTTCAATTGCGCAGATAATCGGTTCTGAGCAGCAACTATTTTTGTTTCTTTACAGTTTATGTGAAAATTGCTTTNACACAGTTTTTGTCACGTTTTCGGATCAGCAGAAAATTGAAAAATCATTGAATAATTTTGGCTCATCAAACTCACCCTCAATAAGAATCCAGGTAATAGAGACAATAAGCAAATATTCTTAGAGCACATCTTAGTGCGGTTCCTTATTTGAAGATCCACGTGGAGGCTCTATAACCACTAATTGTAAACAAAATATAGGCTTAGAAGGATGATATTGAATTTAAAAATACGTAAAACAGAAGAAACGATATTTCCCCGCTTAGTTTGAACTGATTTTAAGAGGGTTTCATGAATTGAAAATAAACGAAAAATTAAACATAAAAATATAATCACTTGATCGCAATAAAAAGTGGCAATGACAAAATTCCAAGATTGAAATTCATAGCAAAAATTCGGGAACAGGTGAAATTCGAGAGATCCGTTCATCTGTAACTCAAAAACATTTTTCCATTCAATCGTATCAAAACCAAAATATGTATGATAAGGTGGAATTGAATTTCAAAATGTATGAGACACAATAAGCATTATTTCTCCTCTTCAATTGGAGTGATTTCAAGAGGGTTTCATGAATTAAAAATAGCATTAAAATGTATCTCGAAATAATATCCCTTGGTCGCAATCATAAAGTGGCAATGATGAAATTCCGAGATTTAAATTTATGCCTGAATTAATAATTCGCAAAAAGGGTGAACATGGAGTAATTTGTTTTGCAATTCAAGGATGAATTGCCAGAGATGGTCTGAGGTGTGAAGAGAAGACGTTGATGGAGTCTTTTATCCAGGCTGCATAAGCCGCCACTCTGGTGTAAACCCCGGGTACGTTTCTGCGCCCGCAGCCGATCCCGAAGGACACCACACCGACCTGGTACCAATGCCCGTCTTTTTCGCACACCAATGGACCTCCGCCATCTCCCTGTTCATCATTCGCAGAGAAATGTTTCAGTCAACTTCTAATAAGATTTAAACCTAGAACTTCTTTGCAAATAAAAAGAAAATATGAAACCAATCAAATTGCATGCTGTATTTATTTCATGCACCTGTTAACCTACAAACATTTACACTTGCTGAAAACATTTATACCTTCAGCTAAATTGCCCTCTTTTTCCTTTTCAAGGAAAAATATGTCATTTTTCCCCTGCAGCTGTTTTCTGTTTTTATTACTTTATGTGAACTTCACCCAAATTAATGTGTGATGCTTTCTTTGAGTCAAGTGCCACTTTTATTTTACTACTTGACAGTGAAAAATGTTGCATGCAACTATTTTCTTTACCAATGAAGGATCCAAGAGGAACTGTCTCTTGCATGAATACTTGTGAATGGAAATACTTGGAAAGCATTTTTGCACATATTAACCGATGCATTCATGAAGTTATAGGCTCATGAATTCATAAAGGTGGAAGGAATCTTGGTCACAGTCAATTCCTCCTGAACCAATATATATATAGTACCCTGTTTTACTGAGCAATCCTCAGAATTAATCCAAACCTTGACACGGTTATTTCTCAGGAAGCCTTGTAACTCGTTACGGCGGAAGTAAGACTTGAGAAATGCGTACATAACAACAACTTCTTTCATAGACTTTATATAACAATATATAGTATAACATGTTGGAACATGTAAATAACGTTTTGTGTGTCATAAACGTGATTAATTTTTTTATTTTTTGGGTTTATCTTTCAAAACACACAGACTGGAATTAATTTATTCGTAAGTTAAACCATGAACACGTACTGTCCGCAGGTTAAAGGTAGTATTTAAAAAAAACCGGTACTTTGTTTGTGTCATAATAAGTAATGAATAATGTTTATTTCGGAACTAAAGACTATTTTCCAAAAGAGAAAATTCATAATTGCACAAGTTAATTTGATCATGGACCATCAGAAGTGATGCTTTGAATGAATTACTGAGGCATTACTTCATGCTGATGGTTGAAAGTAATTCGTATATATTGCTACAAAGTCGATAAAAACTCAGCGTCAAACAAATTTACTGCACAGCACAAAGGAAATTTTACAATTTGTCTTTCGGAAATTAATACAAATTTTAAATGGTGAGTATAGACCAAATAGACAATGATGAAAGTAATTGAATTAAAGCGTGGTTTATTTGAGATTTCTTGGGCTTTTGAGCTGCTCGGGAGGAACCAAGGAGGGTTGATAGGGATTTTGCGTGCGTTTTCCTGTTTGGCGTGGTTCATAGATCCACTAGATTTTTAAATTTAGAATGCAAATGGAT